TAGGTATTATCTTCATTGTACAGATGGAGAAACTGAGGTACAGAGATTAAGAAACTTGCCTACGGTCACATGACTAGTAAGTGGCAGAGCCAGGATTCAAATTCAGGCAGGTGTAGTTCTCAAGTCCCTAGTTCCTTCAGCTCATCATGCTGACGGCCAATGGCATGTTTTGCAATTCTGTGTTTTCAGGTTCTCCGGAAAGGATAAGACATTTTCCTATGCTGGGAGAAAAGAGGAACATCTGCATCTTTTTTCTAAGCCCTGAATACTCAACCAATGTCCACTAACTACTGATGCCTGGAGATGAGTGGCTGCAGACCCTGGCCATGAAGTACATGTCCTCCTCAGCTTCCGTCAGGGTAAGGGAGAAGATGTACCAGCTTGGATTCCCCCAACTCAGATGAAGGAGTGGGACTTGCCTTCGAAGAGGCCTCTCTGGTGGCACCCTCCCAAGACTCTGTGCCCATGCTGATGTTCCCAGCTGCCAAGGGAAGATGAAGTTATCATGGCTCACTCTGACTTCTTGGGAGGATTAATGCTCGTTAAGCGTCTCAAGGCTGGCAGCTGGCACCAGTGCAAGGTGTCGCTTACTACTGCCCAGAAACTCTCATCCTGGCAGGAGGCTCATTTATTCCATGGCCTTGAACCTTAACCTTCCCCTGTCTCTTCCCTGTTAAAAATTTCTCTGTAAGCTGCTTAAATGAAGAAGTGAACCTGACACTGCCTGCCAGTGGGCTGCTCAGCCACGAGCTCTGCCATGGGCACTCAAGGGCTGGGGAAACAGGGCAGGAGGGATCAGGGCTTAGGAAGAAGCCCTGGAGCCCTCACATGGGTCCCTGGGTCTAAGGTCTCGGATATGCTCCAGTCAAAATGGGAGCTGCACACACTGTCCTAAGAGCCTTATGTCATCCTCATAGCAGCTGACCTGAAGAATGCCAGACATGAATATGAGTGCTTCTCATGTCTTAACTCCTTTCATTCTCAAAACAATCCTGTGAGTGGGTAGTATTGTGTCAACTTTACAGCTGGGACAGAGGTCCAGAAAGGTTAAGAAACTTACCCAAGGTCACAAAGCTAATAAGTGGCACAGCAGCATGCAAATGCAACCCCTCTGGCCCCGAGCCCATGCTAGCTTATTTAATATCCTCCCCAATCATAGCAGCAGTCCTTTTTACAGGTAAGGAAGGCCTTTGTGCACTGAGCCACTGTGCTTTGTGGCATTGCCGGCTGCTGCACAGCAGCTGGTTCCTCTCCCTCCCCTCCCTGAATGGGTTCTTCAAGTGGCAGACTTACCTCTGTGACTTATTAGCAATCAGAACACTACCATCGAGTGCCTGCTCTGAACCTGACTCAGGGCTAGGCCTCTGTCCATCTCCAGTTATCACCAAGGCCCCAAGAGGCCAGGGACTCTGTCCCACTCCGCAGTCTGAGGCCACACAGCTAAGTGGCAACACAGAGGTTCTATTCAGGCCTGCTGAGATCCAAAGCCACACTCTTTCCACCACCTGGCTGGACACTAACAGGGACATTTGAGTGACCTCTTAGAGGAAGGGGAAATAGGCAGATATCTGCCATGGCCTGGGCCACAAGACAAGGAGCAGGCTGTGTCCTTGCTCACAGCACTGGGGTCTTGGGAACATTTTCTGACAGGACCTGCTGAGCCGGATGTTAGTAAAAAGGAAGCCACTTTGACACTGAATTGCTAAGGATACAAAAGCTGGCTTGAGAGACACCTCACTCAGCAATCTTGCTCTGAGTGAGAACAGATTCAGGGAAGGGGAGTATGGGCAGCTGGGAGGGGAACTCGATTTGGTGAAATGCTGCACAGGAGACCGACTCAGCATCTGATGTCACTGCAAAGACAGGCACTGGTGTGAACTCATTACTTTTCCTGGTATACAGCCCTCTTGGCCCTGCAGGCCCAGGAGGGGGACTGCAAGAGCCCATGTCCAAACAGCTCAGCCAGGTGGGGCAGGGTGGGCACTGCTGTCACCTGACCTTCCTGGCAGGGCTCAGTTTACAGTAAAGTCCCTGAAGATGGCAGTGGCCAGAGCCCAGCAACGATGCCACCTAGCAGCCCACACGAGTCCAGAAAAAGAAGTAGTAGGGTGACAAGCATTCTAACTTAGGCCAATTCACCTTCTTCTATTTTTGGGAATAGTCTGGCTTCAAAGCCTCTCATGGATCCATCCCAAACTAGAACCTCCTCCTCTGGGTGCATTCCCATAAGCCTCTGTCTCCTGAGACAATTTTGTGGTAATCACAGTCAGAGATACTACCTATTAAGCAGGTTCTTTGTGTCAGGCAGGTCCTGGGCTGGGGTCTGATGTTTTCATTAGTTTTCACTGTGCAGAAAAACTCAGGCTCATAGAGAAATAACTTGCCTAAGGTCATACAACCAAGAAGTGGTACAAAAGCATTTGTTGAATGAAAGAATAAACCAAGACCAGCTCTCGCTGCACATCCTCCTTTCCCAGGGGCCAGCCACCCACTGCGACCTCTTTGCTAGCTCCAGAGGAAAGACACTGCTTCGCTGTGGGGACTACTGCAGGCACTGGATTGATGGGCACCCAGGGGAGTGGCTGCTCTGGGAGACAGACACCCAAGGGACCTCAGGACCTCCCATGGGCTCGCCAGGGCAAACGCTGACTACATGTATTATTCTGTAAATGGCAAAGCACTCACACAGACTTGGCCCTTTGAATGTTCATATTTGCTCTCACAGCAGTCCAGTATGAAGGACAAATGAGCAGAGGGGACCTGAGACATTATGTGACTCAAACCTGGCCACACAGGTACCTCAGGACAGAGTGAGGACTTGCGCCCAGGTCTTTTGACTCAAGGACCAACTTACTTTCTGCCATTCTAGCTGCCCACTCTCCATCAGGGCTGGTGATTGAAAAGGCACTGAGAGTTGAGGTGCAAATGACAGCCCTGAGGAATTTTGCACAATGGGACTTGGCTTAGCTCAATCCTACCTACAGTGTTCCCATGGTACTTCCTCTGTCCCTGTGGATGGTCTGAGCAACAGCTATGCCCATGCTGTGTAGTTTCAGAAATTAGCCTCCCCCACTCCCACCAATTCCCTGAATATTTGTAAATTGTTAGAGGGAAGGAGAGGGAAAGCCTCCATGGCTCCATCCTGGATTTACACTAGTCACCAAAGCTCCAACAACTGTGGTGAGACCCACACTGGCCCCTTTTCCCCAGGGCTGATGTGGGATGTTAGGGGAAGGTCTGAGTTCCAAGGCAGGGGAGACAGCCAGGCCCCTGAACAGAAATCCACACATTTCATATCCGAGGTTTAAAGAAACATCTGTCTTCCTCCCTTCTGATTCAGGAGTCCTCCTAGGAATCTATCCTAAGACAACATTTTATGCACAAAGATGACAACTGGTGAATTATCTTTAATAGCAAAAAATTGGAAATGACTTCTGTCCAACATTAGCAGAATGGTTAAATGAATTATGGCACATCCATGCAATAATTGCAACCATTAAAAACATTCTTTATGACAAAGTTTGGATAAGTTAGGGAAACACTTATGATGTAATATTAAGCCAAAAGGAGGGGGAGAGAGAAAGAGAGAGAGAGACAGGACATAAAATTGTATATAGAAGAAAAAAGCAAAAAGAAGATTGGAAAGAAATGAACTAAGATGCTAAGAGAGGCTGCATCTATGTGGCAGAATGAGTTATTTTTTGTCTGTTTTCCATTTTTTAACAAAGATTTATTTATCTATTCATGAGACACACACACACACACACACACACACAGAGGCAGAGACACAGGCAGAGGGAGAAGCAGGCTCCTCGCAGGGAGCCCGATGCGGGACTCGATCCCAGATCTCAGGATCACGACCCAAGCCGAAGGCAGTCGCCCAACCACTGAGCCACCCAGGTGTTCCTGCTTTCCACTTTTTGATACTTTTTCTTTTCCCCTACATTGCTGTGATAATCAGAAAAATGAAAGAAGCTTCCCAAACTCTCTCTCTCTCTATCACACACTGCCCCCCCACCTCCCCAGGAGTGAATTCTCACACATCCAGAAAGAATGTGATGCAGATTGGTTAGAGGGAAGAAGGCAGGTTCTCTGTGTTCCTCTTCCCATAACGTAGGCACTTCTCTTAAGATCATACACATGGGATCCCTTTAACCTGCCTTCAGGATTTTCCTAGGGCTTTTCATCTGACTTGGTTCTTTGGTTCTGGACCTCAGGAGTGAGGAACACAGTGGGTGAATTTCTGTCTCCAGCCCTGGACAGCTCTGGTCTCTCAGGGAAGCAGCAAGCCAGGCCGCCTCCAGCATCTTTTCTGGAGAAAGGCCTGAAGAGAGGAGAGCTGGCGACTTGGAAGGGTGTTAAATTTGGAATGTGAGGCCGTGCCCACAAGAAGGCACTCTGCAGACTCTCCAGCTGTGATAGGCTTTCCGAATTAGGAGAACCCGTGGCTGAAGAGGGAAGAGACACGAGCTAGTGAGGCTGAAGGTCACATGCAAGCTACTGACACGAGGCCACACCTGTGCTACTCCCTGACGTGCGACAGTACTGTCTGTCTACGAGGTGAGCGTGCAAGATGCACCTGCAGGACCCTAAAGGCAGTGCATGCACCCACCTCATCAGAAACATGTTCTGTTTCTCTACGAGACCACCCAAGATCATCTTACAGCTACACCTGGGGGAGTGGATTTAAATCCAGTCCTCTGTGTCCTTCAGAGCACCAAACCTGCTCCTTGGAAGGTCTCTGTTCCTTACCATCTCCAGTCACATGTCCAAGTGTGTTTGCTCTAAAACACAGATGCTAAGTGCATACAAAGAGTGTAAAGTGAGAGGGAAGCGTGTTGGCTTCCCCCAAATCTAGAAGGCTCGAAAGTCTGAGCAGCCCAGAAGGAGCTCAGACTCAGAAGCCACTGGGTCTGGGGAAATAGGGGGGGTGGTAAGTGGGGGGGCTGCAGGACACAATGGCCCAAACTGAATTCCACTCAGCCACCAGGGGGACTCACCAAACATGTTGCCCTCATAGCCGTCTCTTGTGAGTGGCCGGAGCTCATTTTTCCCCATTGCATAAAGCTTGTAGCTCTGCCAGGCGAACTGCATCATCTGCAAGAAAAAGCAGGAAACAGAACCTGAGCATGGCAATTCCCAACCATGTACTCTGACCACCTGGCTTTGCCCTCTGCAACAGGATTTGAAACCACATTTAAAAAGTAATTCATGGGATCCCTGGGCTGCTCAGCAGTTTAGTACCTGCCTTCGGCTCAGGGTATGATCCTGGAGTTCCAGGATCGAGTCCCATATCGGGCTCCCTGCATGGAGCCTGCTTCTCCCTCTGCCTGTGTCTCTACCTCTTTCTCTCTGTCTCTGTGTCTCTCATGAATAAATAAATAAAATCTTTTTAAAAAATAATCTTCCAAACTGAAGAAGATGACTTCCTTTCACATAGTTCTATTCATAGTCATGGCTGCCTGGAAGGCCATTCTCCTCAGACGACCCCAGTAGCCCAGAGTCTTCCCACAGATTCCTTAGAGAAGACACAGAAAACATTAAATATATTCTAGCCATCCTTCAGTGCCAAAGTGAAAAGCTACCTCTTCCTTGAAGCCTTCCTGCTCTGCTCCAGCCCTAAAGCGATTCTCTGAAAGGAAGGAAACAACTTACTGAGTGATGCCTGGTAGAATCTAATAAAGCAATCCCCTGAGCTAGCAACTGTTGACTCTGTCCTACAAGGCAAAGACATCAGGTAACTTGTCCAAGGTTACCTAGAGTCAGTGAGAATGCTGGGAACCAAACCCATGCCCTGTGGTTCCGAAGCCTTAAGTCTGTCCCCAAAGCCTTTGTTCTGCCCCCTAAAGTCAACACAAGGCTCTATGAACTTTTCTAACACTTGGCTTGACTCACTCTTGCCATCCTGAGCTCCCTAGCACTCGAGCTGGTCACTTACCGTTTTTGTTTCCCTGGCTGGGAACCATAAGCGCCTTGAAGCCAGCCACTATACATGCCTCAGTCTCCCCTACAGCAACCAGTACAGGGCTTGGCATGTGTAGGGGGCAATGAATATCAACTTTGTCACCCAGTCTGGACATGAGTTCTTACTCATTAAGGTAACCATGTCATTCCCTAGGGAACATTGTTCAAGCACCTTGGAATGCAAGCTGACAGTGTATCCTCAGCTCTGCTTCTCTGTCCCCCAGGCTCTCCCTTATTTGCCTTTATGGTGCTGCTTTTTTGCCTCTACATGGCTGGCTGCTTGGGTGACAGCAGGGCAGAGGAAGAAGCCGGGGCAGGAAGCAGAGGCACAGCTGAGAGCCCAGTGTGTGGGGAGGCAGCTGGTGTGGAACAAAGAACTCAGGCTTCTGAGGCCAGACTGTCTGGGTTCTCATTTTACCTCTGCTTTGACTCTAGCAAGTGACCAAACATCTCTGCACCTCAGTGGGCTTCTTTTTGAAATGGGAATGACAAGTGATGTTTTGCTGAAAGACTTAATCTCTAATCCTGAAAGGTTTGCATGAAAGAAAGTAGTTGGGAAATGCCCAGTTTCTGACCTGCCATGGCACGTGATCACTAAACACTAGTCCTCTGCCCTCCTGAGCTGCTAAAATCTCCATCTGGTGCCCCAAGCCACAGCCACCACCTCTCCTCCCAACCATCCTTAATTCTCAAACTTTGCGAGCATCACCTAGAGAGCTCTGTAGGCCCCATCCTTGAGTTTCTGATTCAGCAGGTCTGGGGTGGGCCCAAGAATTTGCTTTTCTAACGAGTTCCCATATGCTGCTGGTCCACAGGCCACCCCTGAGAGCCACAAGTCTGGTCCATGTGTTTATTTCTATTTCTCACCTCACCTCCAGATGCTGTACCTTTCTACTTTTCTCCTTCTATCTCCCAGCCTACCTTCCTGCCTCAGCTTCCCCTTTCTGGACGTCTCCACCCTCATCCTCCATGCTCTGCCATTCCAGGTGCCAAGGCTTAGAAGTGGTCTCTTCCAGACGCATCTGGACCATAATTTCTGTGTTTGCCGCTGTGGCCCAAATACACAGGCCAGGAGAGCAGATGTGACTAGTCTATGGACCACACTTCCCGTGAAATAGCAGAATGATCCCACAGCACCTCTCCGTTTCATAGATGTTCATACTGAGGCTCAGAGATGGAAGTGGTCAGGGTGGCACAGCCGGCAGGGCTGGAATCCGCCTCTTTCAACTCCCAGGCTGGCTGACCCTGTCCTCGTGCCCAGCCTGATATATGGCTTCCCATGTGACACACATGCAAAATGTCATGGTAACGCATGCCAAGCACTTGGCAAGCGCTTTGAGTCCTGGTTCCATTCCTGTTATTTTCTACTTATCCTGAATTGGCAATAACAGAAACTAATTGCTGGGTAAGACTGCTTAAGGGAGACTGGCCTCCTCCCTCAGTCTCTCTTATCTGGAGGCCTCCTCAGTTAAGTCGGTGTGAGCTGAGGAAGTGGAGAGTAGCAGGAGGCTGGTAAAACAAAAATGACAACAGGAAAGCAGGAGCAGAGGTCTGGATGGGGAGGATGACACCCTCCCCTCAAAACCCCTCCTGCTTAAGAGAATCGAGAGAGAGAGAGAGAGAGAGAGAGAGAGAGAGGGAGGAGTGGGTGTACCAGAGTAATTAGGAGAATCATAGGTATCTGCATGTTCCCAGAGGAACTGCCACTGCAGGGATGTGGAGACGTTTGGAACAGGGCCCGTTATCTCAGTCACCCCACATCAGTGGATAGGAGCGAAGGCACAAATCATCCCTATGCCCCTGGGGATGAGATTCAGAAGGCAACCAGCATGGATCTCAGCCCTCTCTCTGCTTTCTCTCTCTCCCTCTCATACACACAACATGTACAAAGACACACTGGTGTCTTCCATCTGGGGTCACAAGTGGCTCAACCTGGGCACTGGATTAGCAGGGGACAGGAAAAGACGCCCAGCCAGGCAGTCTTTACTTCTCTTCCTAGAGCACCCCAAGCAAGCACCAACCTAGGGTCTTGTCCTGTGCTCAGCTATGGTTTGGGCTACAGCCATAGTGGGAACGCTACCCCGGCCCCACCTTCTATTTCCCTGCCAAATGCTTATCTTCCTTCACATCCCAGTTGAAACAGCACTTTTGGAGGAAGCCTCCTCCCCAGTCATGCCTAAGTCAGGCCCCTACTCTTTCCCCACATTCCTGATGCTATGGCCCACAGCAGCCTGCAGTCAAGCTTTTATACAGTCCCCCCCCCCCCCGCCCAAACTCCTAGTCGTTGCTGCATGTCTCGCAACTCATCCAGGGACTGGCACATAATACGGGCTCACTAAATATTTGCTGAATGACCCTTAAGAAAACCGCTGTAGAGCTTAACGCATGGTTGGCAGACTGGTGGACCACAGATGTCATGGGTAAGATAGGTCATGTCAGAAGGGAGGGGCTTCTAAACACCAGAGGCACTCAGAAGAGGGCAAGTGTGTGTCTCAAGTAGATAACCAAGCGTCCTCATGGACACACAGGACTGTGAGGGACACAAGAAGAGGATGAACCACAGAAAGACTACCTCACTCCGGAGCTGGTAATACATGCCTTGGCTGACCCCTGGACTGGGCTTTAGAGATAAAATGTCCTTGGCTTCATGTTAGGCAGGTCTAAGACCTCAAAGGTCATCTAGACTACCTCCTGCCCCACACAAGTTCCTTAATAAAAGATTAACTAATGCCTCTTTGAACACCTGCAGGGATGGAGTGCTCACCACTTTACCAGGCAGAGCTCATTTGACTATAGTTTCTTTTTTTTTCTTTTTAAAGATTTTATTTATTTATTTATTTATTTATTTATTTATTTATTTATTTATTTGAGACACAGAGAAAGAAGCAGGCAGAGACACAGTAAGAGGGAGAAGCAGGCTAAATGCAGGGAGCCCGACGTGGGACTCAATCCTGGGTCTCCAGGATCACGCCCTGGGCCGAAGGCAGATGCCCAACTGCTGAGCCACCCAGGCGTCCCTGACTATAGTTTCACAAAATTCTTCCTTAATCTGTCCAAATCATGTTTTTCCAGGGTGCCCCGAGGCTTGTTGCCCATTTGTTATGGTTCACTATACTTTTGTTAATGAGCAGAAACCAAGTGCAGACTCTCCCTGGTTACATCTGGACCAGATCCTGTGGGCGTGGACTTGCCATTTGTCCCTGATAATTTTATCTTGTAGGACTCTGCCTACCATTCTGTGCTGTCAGGATCTTTCTGGAACCACATCTTATCATTCAACATGCGTGCATCTGCCTGCTTTGGGTAATCTGCAAACTTGATAGGACTGCCATCTGTGTCTCCCCCCACCGAGTTTTGGACAGAAACATTGAGCAGGGGGGCTGAGAACAGCATTGGGGAAACCACAGCAGGGGCCTTTCTCCTGGATGTTGCATCTTTCTTTGAGTGTCATCTGTCAGCAAGTGAGGAACCTACCAATCAATACAACCCCCATGTCTCCATTTTTGTACACAAAGATGTTGTTTCAGCCCTGTAAAGGACAGGGCTGAAGCACAGAAACATCATTCCCCCAGCATAGCTAGTACAGAAAATAATTAATTGCTGCATTTTTTTTTAAAGGAAAATCAGGGGTTAGACTGGCACGATTTGCTCTTAGAGAACCCATTTTGGTTCCTACAAATCATCATTTTTTGTTCTAAATGCTTGCAAATCACTAACTTAAAACCCTATCAGGGCCTCTTAGGAGGCTATAATCAAAAAGATGGACAATAATAAATGATGGCCATAATGAGGAGGAATTGGAACCCTCATATATTGTTGGTGGGAATGAAAATGGTGCAGTTGCTTTGGAAAAAGTTTGGCAAAAAAAGTTAAATAGAGAGTTACCATGTGACCCAGCAACTCCACTCCTAGGTGTGGACCTGTCCAGAAAAGAACTAACAGCTGGCCGAAGGCTTCCATTCCTAGAAAGGCCTGCTTGCCAGACTGATCCTCAGCTGATGTCTAGGAATGAGGATTTCATGAGTATTCTCACCATCCTCTAACTGGTGAGGGTGGTTTCCTGTCCTTAGAATGTACAAACAATCTCTGATGCTGAATACCTGGCTTTCCTGCTGGGAGTCTAGAATTTTGGT